GTTGGAACAGACTATACAATTGTATGCTCATTAAACCTTTTGTCTTTTTTGTTTTCTTTACTAATAGATAATTGGTACAATTAAATGTGGGCAAACCAGGAGTAAACCCTTATTTCATAGACAAAATATACCAATCCTTTAATTGCTATCAAAACAAATTGCTGTTAAATTGGATTCCTGAAATTGTTATGATTATATCGCATTATCATAACAGTTATTACTGCATGGTTTCTTTATCGATATAATACAAATATTGCTTGCTTTGTGTTGCTACATCATCCTGTTGTTTTTTTTGTATTTTCAAATAAATCTCAAATAAATACAACAATTACTTAATAATAAATAATGTATCAACAATTTAATTTTAAGAAATGAAGCATCATTTAATTTCAATCAGAATCAAATATTAAATTTTCTTTTTTTTAGTAAATATTACAAGAGTTTTTTTGTCTATTGTTATTTTAGCATTACAGTTGGGGCGATTGTGTAGATTAAAGTCCTTTTCATAAATTGACGAGTTGGCAGGCCTTTCTTTATCAGGAATTCACTTCTTTCCAATACGACATTCGTCGACAATAGCGGGGCAAGTTGGTAGAAAGTGGGGAAGTTGATGAAAATTGGAGAAAGTTGGTCTGGGGCGATTTGGCAGAGGGGCGAGCTGTCCGACCCCCATTTATACTAAATAATAAAGATTCAGAGGGCCAAAATTTAATCATGTTAATAATTATTTTTTTAATCCCTTTTTAAAAATCTCAGTCAGGAGCGATTTTATGATTTGGCCGCCTCATTAAATACGTGAAAATAAGTTAGTATAGTACAAGCGCTAATACCTTTTACCCAAGCGCCTGTGAACAGAGCCAGAGGAGAATGGAAAGTGTCGTCTCTTTTCTAAACATGTACGGTCAGGAACTTTTGTTCAAACTTTTTTTCTCCTAACGTTACCGGAAAAGAAGAAATTTTTATAAAACAGCACAATTGACGGAGGAAATTCCGGGAACTCCGTCCTGTTCCGAAGAAGAAAAATTGTCCTTTAATAGAAATGAAATGATACGACTAAAAATGATGATCCCCACCCAATCCAGATCCTACCTGATTTGGGGTCAATTAGTGATAAGTAGGCAGATACAAATATTCTCTAATTCACGTAAAAAAAATGTATTATAATTAATATCTGGGACTATTATAGTATGATCAAGGATTTGTATAGTAAGACTTTTCTTACTATACAAATCCTTGGTATGATAGTCCCAGTTGATATGTCTCTTAAGTAGGTAAGTCATTTTTGTTTTAATAGATACAAGAATATGTCAGGTATGAGTGCCAATGTCATTATGAGACAACTCTCCATCCGGCAAGTCACATTTTGTAAAAGTAAACCAGTATAGGTCAAAGTACGGCCTTCAACACTGAGCCTTGGCTAACATCGAACAGCAAGCTATAAAAGGCCCCAACAATGACTAGTGTAAAACCATTCAAACAGGAAAACCAACGGTATAATCTATATAAATAAACAGCTGCGCCATGAGCGCATGATACGCCCGTCGTCTTGTGTGTGAATTTTTATGCAATAATCATAAATAGTTTCTGACATACGGCCTGACATGCGAAAACCCCCCTTTTTTTTACAAAAAACTAAATATCTCTAAAATAAAATTTTGAATCAAACCAAAAAGTATACAGATCTTTAGATTAATATAACTAGGAAGTGTGTACAATTTTAAGCAATAATCATAAATCGTTTTTGAGATACGGCGCGACATGTGGAAACCCCCCTTTAAAAAAAAATCAATATCTCAAAAATAAGATTTTGAATCAAAACCAAATAGTAAACAGATCTTTAGATTAATATAACTAAGAAGTGTGTAAAATTTTAAGCAATAATCATAAATCGTTTTTGAGATACGGCGCGAATTGTGAAAAACCCCTCCCCCTTTTTTTACAAAATACTCAATAACTCAAAAATAAAATTTAGAAGCGTGTAAAGTTTTAAGCAATAATCATAAACTTTTTTTGAGATACGGCGCGACATGTGAAAAACCCCTCCCCCTTTTTAACAAAATACTCAATATCTCTAAAATAAAATTTTGAATCATCACCAAAAAGTATACAGATCTTAAGATTAATATAACTAAGAAGTGTGTAAAGTTTTAAGCAATAATCATAAATTGTTTTTGGGATACGGCGCGACATGTGAAAAAATACACACACCTGTTTTAGTTACTAAGTCCCATAACTCAAACAGTTTTAATTTTATTTTCACCAAAAAGTATACAGATCGTTTGACCATCAAATTTTGACGGGCGTATAAAAACGAGAAACGAGATACACTTATGAACCACATCAACAATTAAACGACAACCACTGAACATCAGGTTAAGTCGGCTTTCATATACATACAAAATATTAAGTGTTTTTCGAAATGGACAAATTAAATTAATTTGATATTTGAACTGCCGAGACAAAAACTCAGAAGACAGAAACCAAACAACATGAATTTCGAAAAAAAATATACCACTTAAAAGGTTATTGCAAAACACCCCGAACAGTATATACAATACCTGGGAATAGCATAACGGGGCTGGGAATAGCATACCTGGGAAAAGCATACAATATTTCATGTCCCAGGATACAGTACCTGGGAATAGCATACAATATATCATGTCCCAGGATACAATACCTGGTAATAGCATACATTATATTTTGTCCCAAGATACAATACCTGGGAATAGCATACAATATATTATGTCCCAGGCAAAACCATCGGAAATTGTCCCTCAGAATTGAAGAATTCGGCCGATCCGCATTCTGAAGAGAATATGATAATGTTTTGAATGTCTCTGGCTTACATACATAACGTGGTAATCACATTAATGTGAAATATTATAAAGAAGTTTTTTTTTCTTTTCGTAAATAGTGAAGAAAAAGTAAACAGTTGAAAGATCCCCTGTCAAAAGGAATCTCTCAAGGACAAGCGTTACATAAATCATTCCCGGGAACCTGTCGAATTAGTTTCGGAAATATTAAGTTAAAACAGCTCCAACCCTGGATCTGTTCAAGGGCATCTGAACATGAAACATTAGCATGCATCAAGATTCAATGTAATGCAAATACGCTTCTATAGATACGGAATATGTAACAATGGAATGGCTAAAAACCATACAGGGTCAATGTACACAGCCCTAGATTGAGTTATGTAAATTTTGATTAAATTTTCTGCATGATATTTTATTCGGAAAATTGTTTTGACAAGTCTTTGAATAAGATTGCTGTACTCAGTCAAATGTTTCCAGTTTTATCTGTAATTATGTTGTCACATGGCGTTTGGAAGTGTTGTTGTAATTTGTTACTTTTTACGATGCAATTTTTTCAACAGAAAAAAAGAAAACATAATAATTTAAAGCCTAGAGTGGCAGTTTGTCAAATTGTCGAGAGAAAAAAAAATGCATAATATTTATGATAAAATTAATGTGAAATAGCAGTTTTTTTATTACTGCTTTATAATATTTCACGACTTATCAAAATTTATGTCACTGTTGTTGTTCGTACAAAAATCAGACACACAAACAAATACGCTGAAACCTTTCAAGGAAGACGAACAATGGACTCATTCAGAAGTTCATGGATATAATAATAAAAAAACACACACACACACAAAAAGATAAAATGAAAAAAAACACACACACAAAAGATGAAATGAACAAAAATAAACACGCAAACAAAAGATAAAATGAAAAAAAAACCACACACACAAAAGATAAATGAAAAAAAAACATAAAAATGAATTGTTCATAGACACAACTTGTCCGAGAGTGGCTGTTTATAACTTGAGTTGTCGAAAAGGAAAAGAGGCTGGGAGAATGATGATGTTGATTATGATTATGATAATGGTTGTTTCAATAATTGATTGCTGTTTGCTTAACGTCCTATCGGCAAATATCTCATGCGTATCATGGACTAGAAAAATGAACAATAAATCCAGTATAGGTTCTTCAAAGTGAGTCGAATGGGACTACTATGTGTTATAGTAGTCTCAGAATGGGATGAAGGGCGGGAATTTGGACCGCCACTAGAAATTTAGGGTACGTTGAAAACGATCGAAAATTTTGCTTTCCAACAGGCAACATATGAAGTTACAGAACCCTCATATAGTTGTTGCAAGGATTCGTCAACATACATATATATAGAGCTTGACACTCTCCCTACACGGTGTATCGGATTTAAAACCCATATTCCGACCAGACGCGGCTGCGTATTTATACATCCCGCACAGTCAAACTGACACCTCTCTTTATAATGAGTTATATTGCCGGACGGGAAAAGTCCATGGATATAACCATATTTCTTGAGCCAATTCGACCCTTTGGGTGACGATGACGATGACGATGATGCGACGACGACGACGACGATTCCTGTTAGAATCTCTAGTCTGATGTTTCTATGTATAACTTGATGTTTAGATGGTTCTTCTAGATAAAATCAACGTCCTAATAAAAATTGCAAACATAATCAAGTATTTCTGTAGAGAAAGTCGTAAAATTATTCTGTGAAGGTTTTTATTAAGACACGTCTTGACAGCAAGGCGACTGCCGTGGTGACATCCAACTCTGGACAGTAACTGAAGTTGACCACGATTATCTAAATTTATGTCATTGTTGTAGTTCGTACAAAAATCAGACACACGAACAAATATGCTGAAACCTTTTAAGGACTCGGACGAACGATGGAATCATTTAGAATTTCAATTTCCGCCTAAGCATCCTAGCCTGGGGTCCTGGCTAATTTTGCGACGCACAGCTAGATCGGGCCGGGATTTCAGGCTACTTAGCATCCTAGCTCGCATATTACGTTTAGTCAAATCAGAAACGTTAAAAAAAACACCTTAAAGCAGTGATGCTACCATAATGCAGCTGTTACATTGTGTATGGATTGGTTCATTCTCATAATGTGATTACGTATAATAGAGCAAGCTTCAGATTCAATAAATTTCCGTGATTAAATACCTGTAAAACTTGATTCATTAATTCGTTGATTGCTTTATCAATGGCGGGACAGTCGACATTATCAGTCAGTGTAAGAATAATACGGATGTAATCTGCCAACCCATCTAACAGAGAGGGTATGCATTCATAGTTAGATGCTATCTTCTTCAATCCATACAGTGAATGAGCAGTGTCATCGAGTGTACTCTTATCTGCATTAAAAAATAAATAAATTGATTAGTTGTATAGAGAACTTTTACCAAATAAACTGAGCAAATAACATTCAACAGACATATTAGAACAATAACACAAAACACAACAAATCGATTCGTTGATTCTGATATTAGGAGATGGCGATAATGATTATACTGCTAAGCGACTTAATTGTTAATTGTAAAAGGACACATGACCCGGTGTTAAACATTCTCACGTAGCTAAACGGACGCCCAGTTTTTCAACTCAAGGAGAATTGGAATATCAAAGTAACTACGGAATATACACCGTGTTTAAAAATACCAATAAAAGTTCATTATTCGATACAGATCTGTAGGTGTGGTTATACGAAACCAAACTAAGAATAAACTTTTCATATGTCCGTAAAAAAATTAACAGATGTATTTCGAGCACAATTTTATCTCAAATAATTTAAAGAAAGTCGTTCGATCTAACATAATCCGAAATTGCTGTGACATCTGGCGGTCTTTTCGGGGGGTATTGATGGGGTCGTGGGACGTCAGAGTACAGTTGGTATAGAAAACATGGAAATTGACTTAAGCGGCAAGTTTCTGTCTCGCAATCCCACACAGCCAGAAGAAGTACGTTGGACGTCAGAGCAATCTCGGACTAAATTTTACACTGATGACGTTTAATCAGATAATCATCAGATGATAAAAATATCAATAGTATTCTTAAACGTGTTGTAGACCTATACGCAGCATATTACCTTTGCCATTGATAGAACAAATTAATAAGACATTGTCATCAATATGAACGTGATAAATCGAAGCGTCAATTTACGGTCACGATAAATGAATCGATTATTAAAATAAATACCGCTGCGGTTTTTGTATTTTGCAAGTAAAAAAACACAAAGACACTATAGCATATATTGTATACTATAAACGTTTGGAACGCAGGGGTACGTCGTCAAGTAAAATTTTATTTAGGGAAAAATCATTCAAAACGAAAAATCTCGCCTCAGATATTTCGTGGTAGCGTGCTCGTCGCGTGTGCGGATGGTCGTAAAAGAGAAAGATACCAAAAGGACATTCAAACTCGTAAGTCAAAAATAAACCGACAACGCCATGGCAAAAAGAAAAGAAAAAGACAAACAGACAAACAACAGTATACAAAACACAACATAGAAAACTAAAGACTGAGCAACACGAACCCCCACCAAAAACTGGGGGTGATCTCAGGTGCTCCGGAAGGGTAAGCAGATCCTGCTCCACATGTGGCACCCGTAAGTTCGATCCCCGGCAAGGTCAGACTTAAGTCTTCAAAATTGCCATTTGTTGCTTCTCCACTAAGCACGCGTCAATTAGGGGTTAAGAGTAAAGAGTGGTCGGTTCGGAGTGTGTAATAGCATGTTAAAATGCGATTCAGTGTGAAGTCTAGTACAAAGCATGGTTCATATTCATATAACATTAGCATTCTCGTCATGCTATAAAAGTAATAGCACCGCTGGAGGTTATGCACCAATCCATCATAATTTTAATTTAAAGTGAAAAATTCCTTTTTCTATACCAAGTTATCTAAGATTCAGATGCTTTTTTTTCTCCATTAAACTAAATAGTCTTAAATGCAAATTGTATTGTCTAAACTTAATATTTTCTTGCATGCAATGAAAAGTGGATAATGTCAATATTATTTAAACGTATTCGCTATATATAATATCTAATAAAGTTGAGAGTAGTTATCATCTGATTTGAGCTTTCTAAATGGAACGTTTAACATTTGTCTATTTTAAGAAATAAAAAATTGCAAACTAGAGCGTATTTTCTCGACGACAAGAATAGATAGAGTGGTATGATTGCCAATGAAGCACACAAGTCTCCACCAAAGTCCAAATGACATTGATTAATATATAACTATATAATAACTGTTAAAACTATGGTTATTGAAATATTCACACAAAAATAGGAAACTTTAAAATGCTAATATCACTTCCTTTAATCTTGTTAACAGTACATATAACTCACATTTATCTATTTAAGGAAATCAATATGTCAAATTTACCCAGTTTTAAAATTCTAAATGTACTCAAGATAGTTTTATATTGTGTAATATTGATGCAAGATATCTCAAAATAGTGCTATCAGTATTCTGGTATATTAAGTTTATCATTTTTTCACGCTTTGTATTATTTCTCTGAAAATTAAATGATGCCAAATATAGCTTTATTGAAGACTCATACTAAAAAAGAGAACAGATATCATTTATATTACAGAAACAAGTATTGTGTAATCAAGAAATCCCCACAAGATTTATCATCAACGAAGTGAGATATTCTCATTGAAACTGATATACGAACTTCTCACACTTCGTAATTGGTTTCTGAAAAGATACTCCGATCAATCCGCCTGATTAAGCTCCATTTAAGCACTTAGTAACTTATTTGTCGCCATCATTCCAGTAAACTCTCCTTAACTAAAGATAAAACAAATTTACAAATGCATTCCTCCATTTGATGAACGTAAAATGTCTCCTAATGCAGCCTTTGTTATAAGCTTAATTTACAAGAGGCATTGCCAAAGTATTTCCATTCCCTCTTCCTGGAATATTATTATAAACGCTTTCCTCCAGTTGATGAACGTAAAATTCTCCTAATGTAGCCTTTGCTATAAACGTAATTTACCAGAGGCATTGCCTAAGTATTTATTTTTCAATTCCTTTTTTTCTGGAATAATATAACATATAAGTTCTTAGTCTATATCAAACTTTTCAATTACTCTTGTATATACAGATTTAAACATTTTTCTTTCTCAAAATATTTGTTCAACAATTGACTAATAATAGTTAATGTACATTTGACAATGTTACATTGATTTATTGAGTATTGTTGTTTGTTTAACGTCCAGTAGCAAATACTTCATGCAAGTTCAGACGAGAAATAATTTACTATCACTACAATAGGTAAGTTCTGCATTTGGTGAGGGGCAAGATTTTCGAATGACACTGGAACAAGAAACTACAAAAATGTATATATTGGATGGAAGCAACAAACTTCCCATGCAATATGATCACACCTACGCGCTCCCCCCCCCCCCCCCCCCCCCCCCCCAAGGTTTTGTTGCAATCGTTCTTTAAGTACAGAGATCATTTCGCTTTCCCTTCACGAGACATTGAATGCCCCATTCCGACAAACAACAAATAATGACAAAATGATATATATAAGAAAAAATAGAACGTTGTGCTGGCTCTTTTTTTAAATGTTTGAAAGAAAAATAAGATCGGAGATCAACCGAAGAACGACATAATAATCAGAGGCTTATAGATAGAAGGTAGATCCACTTGAATGTCAATCAATAGTGCATGTGTTTTACCAAGAACGACATGGATCATGGATGAGTCAGGCCCAGTTTGCACTGGCTAAACTCTTATAATTAACGCACCAAAGGAGACGCTTTATTCATGCAAACTCTCTCATATAAGACCTAAGATCTTCCAATAAAACTGCTAACATATTGTAAAAAAATTATTGTTTGCAATTACTTGAACCTGGAACAAAATCGCTTTAGAATCCTATTGCAAATTGTTTCATATTTCTGATGTATAACATATGAGTGGATGTATAAATACAAAAAACGTTCCAACTGATTAGGCATACATAATAAATACAAGGCAATGGTTGGGAGACTATGCCGCCATCTAATTAATCGAGCAATACCTCTGTATAAGTTTAGTAAGTCACTTGTTGTGTTGCTAACTGCCTCAGACTTGTGCATATATATTTATGACATACATTGGCCCAGAGGAGGAGGGACGAAATTCTACTCATGGCGCGCATATTTGTCTTATATATTATAGATCAGTCGCAGTGATAATGTGTCAGTTATGCTCTGCATTGGACCTTAAAACATTTTTGCACAATAATTGGCATATTCTAATTAATGGGAGAGACTCTCTTGTCACTCAAGCCTCTATGTAGTGAGTATAGCGAAAATAAAATCAAAAATCTTATGATTACTTTGTTTAATCTTAGACACATACGCTGTTTTCTTTCTATCAGGCAAAATAATTACGAAACACGATGATTGAATTTCCTTTTCAATTAAACATTTTGTATTGAAATATTACAGCTCGTGATGAAATAGATTACTTTCTGAGGTATAGAAGACAAAGAATAAATACTGAAAAACACATGTCATTCAACAAATTGTATCTTTTCATTCAAATGTAATTCTACAAAACAAAAACAAAATCTTGATATGTCAATGATTTTTTATTCGATTGAAAAGTAATTTATTTTCAACACTGACATTAGCACTGATGGAATGGGGGAGTTTCAAGTGGCGAAATTCCGATGTAGAATTGGCCATGGAGTTTACAATGTTTTGTAATTACACATTGATAAAATAAACAAATAGAAGGAATCTAATGATGCAACGTCCCTACAAGTTTAAGATATTAATTTTAGAAAGGGAGCCCTTTTTAACCTTTTTTAACCTGGCGTTAATTGTTCCTTAAATTTCAGAACGATTTTTTCCCTATTGTGGAGTGGATTTTAATATTTCTTTATTTGAATATTTCTCCTTTCCTTGACTCCATCGACAACTAGTATCAAAGTAGTTATCAAAATACAAGATAAGGCGATGTGGTATGTCTGTAAATGAGACAAGTATCCACCAGAGACCAAAGGACGAGGATGTAAACAACTAAATGTCAAAGTACGGCCTTCAACAATGAGCAAAACCAAAACAGCAAAGTAAGCTACAAAAAGCACTAGCATGATAAAAAGTGAAATAAAAGAGAAAACGAAAGGACTAGTTTATGCTTAAAACATTGAACGGATGACAGCAACCCCAACGAAAACCACTCAACTACAGGCTTCAGACTTGGAACAAGCATATCATAATGTGGCGGGGCTAAACATTTATGTTAGCGGCTACACGTTAACTTGCCGGACATCGGTGTCACAGAAAAACACAAGAACAAACTGTAATGATTAGTTGGAAAGGACTTGACTCATCACATTTGCACGAAGCACAACCAAACTTAACAAATACAAGAAAACAAAACGTATTGACCTTAGAGTACTCACTGTTGTTGAAAGCCAGTTCAAAGCCATTCTGATCTAATAAATAAACAATGTTTTCCCAGACTAAAATATCAATAAGCACACATCTAACGAAAATTTTGTTATACGAAGTGGTCATCCGCAATAATATTGATATAATTCATTGGCAATGAAATTGACAAACAGAAAAATAGTCACTTTTCAAAAACCGTCGATCCCACAAACACTTTTGCAAGAAAGTAAGGAATATTTTGTCTGATTTATTTTTACTTTATTTACATCACGAATATTGCATACAATAATTGTAATTGGACGTCAACCAAACAACATACAACTTATCTAATTTATTGTTGCTTTATTTACACTCACGAATGTTGCATACCATAATTATCATTGAACATCAACCAAACAACACGCAAATAGACAACCTTTTTTTTATCTGATATGCGAAGTAAAACCCAAAAGAAAGCCTAAGATATATAAGTTACTCGAAAATCTCTATACCTTGAGGTAAACCAGACTCGTTAAGGGATCATATGACATGTTGGGTCATAAATACAAAGACAATGCGTCTTCTATACTATCAAAACCACCGAATAACCTTTAACGCAAAGAAAACAATACATGTTTTTGGCGATTCTTATCGTTAAATAGATCCAAATATATCACTTTATTTTGGCTTTCCATAGTTTTGGCTCTGCGCGTAGCGTTTTCAAAAATGTTAATCCAGAAAAGCGTGTCGAACGCAATATATTCGATATTTTCTAGCTCTAGTTAGTTAACGAAACTTCCGGTGAACTCTGTTCCGTCAACAGTGACTAATTGGTTAATTATTCTAAATATCGATGCAATATATTTTGCCTTCTGGATGTATAACATCTAACAATTATACCATCGATTCACGAATTGACATATATAACTCCATTATTCATGTTACTGTTTAATTTCCGACAGCATAGAGAGGCCATTGATGTATGGACCTACGGTTAGTTGGAGTTAAGTTATATAATTAACTGGGCCGATTAAATCTGACAACAGGGCCCTTGTTGAGTATTGTATATGCTGGATGTATAAGTATCATTTATGCATGTGTCCGGTGCTAAAATTCCAGGCCACACCACGCCTTTGTCCTCCCAGAGAATATAATGAATGCATTACATATAAACACTAATATTTAAGGCACCTTTTCCTATTTTAAGCAGTCTCCAACAATAAAATCATCCTTACAAGACCAATTTTCCGTTTCCTATATAAATATAATAGTTTAACCCAGCTGAAATAAATGTTCCGACTCTTTAAAATTACATTCCTCACTATCATTATTTTTCTTACATGCTTTTACAAAAAAAAAAATCCATTCCAAAGTTTCAAGTAACGTCAAATATAATCTGTCGGTCTAACATATCAATTTCTGTACATTTTTATCTACTTACCTGTAAGTTCCGGTATATTTTTATACTCCTATACCTGTATATTCCGGTATATTTTTATATTTCTATACCTGAATGCTCCTGGATACTTTTGCATACTAACATGTATGTTTAATGTTACGCTATGTTTTTGCGTTCAAACCTGTATGTTCCAGTCTATATGAGTATTCCTACCTATATGTTCCGGTGTATTTTAGTATTCCTACCTGTATGTTCCGGTATATTTAAGTATTCCTACCTGTATGTTCCGGCATATTTTAGAATTTCTTCCTGTAAGTTCCAGTATATTTTCCATTCTAACCTTTATGTTCTGTTATATTTTGATGTTATTACTTGTTTGTTCCGGTATATTTTGGTATTCCTTACTCTTCGTTCCAGTATATTTTTTAAAGCATTCCTACCTGAATGTTCCGGCATATTTTAGTATTTCTACCTGTAAGTTCCGGTATATTTTTCTATTCTAAGCTTTATGCTCTGTTTTATTTTTGACTTGCATGATCCAGTATATTTTGGTATTCTTTACCCGTATGTTACGGAATATCACTGTATTCCTGTTTGTATGATACTATATATTTCTCTATTTTTTATCTGTTCGTTTCGGTTTTCCTACTTTCGCTATTATTTACCTATTTGTTCCGGTTTTTCTACCTGTATGTTCCTGTGTATTTCGCTATTATTTACCTCTTTGTTCTGGTTTTCCTACCTGTATGTTCCTGTATATTTCTCTATTGTTTACCACTTTGTTCTGGGTTTCCTACTGGTATCTTCCTGTATATTTCTATTTTGTACCTCTTTGTTCCGGTTTTCCTACCTGTATGTTCGTGTATATTTCTCTATTGTTTACCGCTTTGTTCTGGGTTTCCTACCGGTATCTTCCTGTATATTTCTCTTTTTTTGTACCTCTTTGTTCCGGTATTCCTGCCTGTATGTTCCTGTATATTTCTCTATTTTTTTAATTTTTGTTTCGATATAACTTTATGTTTTTAACTGTATGTTCCTGTATATTTCTACATTGTTTACCTCTTTGTTCCAGTATAATTGTATGTTCTTACCTGTATGTTCCGAGACATTACTGTTCCTGTGTTTGGACCTGTCACCCCGGCGGAGGCTCATCTTTGAGCGGCGATTAGATGTTCTATCATTACTAATGGATGGCTCTAACGTGAATGTTTGCTGCGAAAGAAAAGTATTGATTATATAAAAGTTTGTCCGTAGAGAATAATTCGTTAAATATTGATGAAAACTGGGGAATTGCTAAATATTTAAGAAATTAAAAGTTTCATTATGTTCAAATAGAAAAAAAAAATCTTTAGCCTACAGGAAGTGATAAACGATCATTTAGAATCTGACAGTATCAATTATCTCAAAAATAACATCATTTTGTTGACATCTAAATTCCTTGAAACTTGATGTGGAAAAAATCTCTTGCGGTTTGAAATAAAGACAAAATTATTAGTTTATTGACATGTTTTGTATTTTGAGTTTAATTAATCAGCACAGTTTCCGTGACCGATATGTTTTATAACTTTTGTTATGTAAACAAAAAGATATACGTCCTTCAGAAAAGCTGCCATGAGCAGTTGATAACAAGCGCGGCGAGTTGTAGTGAATCTAAAAAAAAGCGAGCGGATACAGTCAACCTGTTTACATGAGATACAGATGTCCCCGCTTATACATATGCAATAACATAAACGGTACCAATTTTTCTGCACCAGATGCGCATTTCTACAATCAATGTCTCTTCAGGGATGCTCGAGGCGTAAATATTTGAAAATCCAAACAAGCTTCAATGTACTTATTTAACCATATTGACGTTTTGTTTTCTAGAGGCATTCAAAACAGGGTGTATTACAGATCGGATAGGCGATAAATGTTTTGTGATATACAGGGTATGACGTACATAAAACTAGTATGAGATATTTGTTAACGAAGGACTTACACCAGACATTCAAAGCAGTTATAATGACGATGATGGTGGATGGCAGCTTAACGTTCAGCGGCAAATTAAATGCATATTCAGGACGAGAACATGTTGATGTAATATGAATAGTAACCCTGTTTTGAACTATAGATCGATACGCTGAGCTGGATTTTTAACGTGCTAGTTCGCCAGGTATCAGTCCGCAATAAGACATGTCACCCTACACGGACACTTTATTCTGACTCCGAGCCGACCAGTCTTTACTCTTAGTCCTTAATGCCGCGTGCTTAGAAGCAACACATATCAATCTTTGGTTTGAACCAGCCGAGGTTAGAATCCACGACCTCTCGCATTCGAAGCGAACACGCTACCACGATAATCCGAGGGGGTTAACGGGTATAATGTTGAAAACATGTTAAAATAGTATGTTTGCTCGTCTATTGGTAAGGTGTTGAGTATTTTTATTGAAATCCTAACTTGTTTCAAACATCCTGTTTTGCTCAATAGGCGAAAATACTTTTAAAAATGCATACAAATGCTGAACTCTTTTGTTAGATAATGATTAAAGACTGTTAAAAATTTTAAATAAGAAAATGCAAATTATCTGAAAAACAAGTCGTCGTTTACAAGAAGCATGTATTTCAATATGTGCACTGAAAGATTGCAATTCAAACTCAAAAAGTCAAAAGTTATTTTATTTGTACGGAAAGAATGAAAAATATAACATGATGTATTTGGAATTTTAAACGTTGGTACTCGATCAGTGGAAAACTTTTAATTGCTCTTTTTTTTCGTAAAAGAGTGAAAATAGTACCAAGGAACAATCAACATCAGCAGACGAAGGACTCCAACATAACATGCAGCATGATGGTCAAACGGAAAAACCAGAACAGATATCATGGCATTGTTTATAACAAAATTGTCAGGGGAACTTCTGTTAGGCGTACCAAATATTATACGTTGCCAATAATCTATAATGTCTGTGCTTGTTTTATTTTGGGAAATATTACAAAGTGCAAATAATAAAAGGAAACAACTTAATTTTCGTAAGCAACGTTAATGACACTTGATAGGTGAGGTATGGTGGCCGGAAAAAGCCATTTTGCGTTTTCGCTACCATATTCTATAGGGCGAAAACGCGAAATGGTTTCACTTCTCGTTTTAGCATTTTCGATTTCGCGTTTTCGCACAATAGAATATGGACGGCGAAGAGGCGAAAACGCGAAATGGCCTTATCCGACCACCATAATTATGAGATTAATCTCTAAGAAAATTGAGATAAACAGAGGATCAATTTAGTTACTATCTAATCAGTTTTTGAAAAGCCATTAACCTGGCAAAACTTGGTTTAAACAAATGCACTGTTGAATACTTTCGCTCAAAGCAAAATTATGATTGTTTGTATTGTAAATTGATATCCTATTAGATTGCATATTATATGTGTACATCACAAACAGGTATTTACAACTCATTTAGGTGATTTATCGCAACATGCTAAAATATTCCATTAATGTCAAAATGTTCATTCATTACAAGAATATGAAAAGTTCTAAGATAGCATTGCATTTTAAAAACAAAATCAAATTAAGCTTCAGGTTTAAAGGGAATTTCCATAACGATCTGCGTTTTCATCAACAATCAAATTCCTGCCTACCTTTAATTTATTTATATATCTCCCAAATAAAACACCAGCTAACATACAAACTTTATCTATACATTACATGTTTACATGGTTTAAACATGCACTAACCAGAATAGATTTCGTATTCTAGTCAATGCCAATTTCATAGATTCATAGTGACTTTTTTTCTGACAGCAATCATTCAAATGAGTTGAAGTATCACTTAACCATATGGTTGCCTTTGAATGATATTTAACAAAAAAACTCAAAGCGGATTAATATCTTATTCTGAACGATTTGCCATAATTGTTCATATCTTTAAAAAAAAAGCTTGTAAAACAATAATACATGACTGACGTCAATCTCAAGTAGATCCGAGAGTCTATTTCAAGGACAAAGACAGAGATTTTTTAATTCATATTTGATGAGTTTTTCGCTTCTCCGATATGTTTTATGCAACTTTGTTTATTGGAAAAATCAAATCAAGAATATTGCATGTCGTTTATTTGGCATATAAATATTTCATATGCTTAGCTTTGTTTAGCTTAAATCTTCATCAATTTTATGTATGATCATGATTTTTTTATTTATTTATTTTTATTCAAATGCCCGTGTTACTTAATTTCCATAAATAGTTACTAAGATTTATTTTCATTTTATTGTCGAAGACCGGTTGTGAATTGTTAAAGAAAGGTGACCGGGAACGAAGGATCCGTATTAGAGATATATAGTCATCAATAATTTTGGTGTCTGTCGCCGTCAGTTGATACATTTTTCTTAAAAACTTCTGCTAATACATGGAAAAGCTAGTGACAAAAAATGTCCCCGTCCATAATAGAGATTTCTTACATTTTGACGAAAGGTACGAACGGACGTAAAGGGAGCATGCATTACATTCCTACGATAACACTGAGAGTCTGTGTTTTATCTGGTAAAATCTGAATCAAATGTATCTTTAAAAATTAAATTATAAAACCCGCATTTAATATCTGAAAATAAAGAAAATAGTTTAAAATACACATACGTCCGATACGTTGCTTATGTTAATCACGATTACACACATTTGTGCGAGAATTTTTCAAGCATGCTTTTTTTTCAAATGTTTAAACCGTGGCCTAAACATCTTAATGATTTATTAATGAGTATGCCATTAAAAAATTGTCAACGTGCATCATCGAGATTCGCTACACAAAGAAAGTACAATGAATGGAAAAAGTTATGAAAAAAAAGCTGGGAGAAGGAAAAAAGATCTTGTGAGGAAGGTTTTTTTTCCATTTATATAAAGGTTAAAGGTTAAACAGGAAATATTGCAACAATCACGATCGCACTGAAACACATGTAAACGGAATGGAAGCAACTCCGGAAAGTTAAATGGTCGTTGCCTTTGTATTCCCCAAATTAATTTTTTTTAATCTGCTATCAACTAGTAATATCTTCACAGAACACGAGCGACTATGTTAAATTCAGTGTCAATACCATAAGGAACAATTAACACACACCCCAGCTGATAATTGCAAATGGAGTTCAATATGAACGTTTAGTCCACACTGTATAACAAACGTTAAATGGTCAACAACAGAAAAGACAATTAAGCAACAAAGTACACTGAAGAAAAAGGAAAACTTAGGTGTTGCAGAAGGTTAAACCGTTTCTGTCTCTGGCTTAGTTGTGCATATAATAGACCAATGCCAGAAAAGGAGGTTAGGAATATGTCTGAACATTTGAATGATTAAGCGAGCCCCGTAATATATTTTGGGTGTCATTTTTCCCGATTTTACAATTTTTGGAGGGTTTCAAAATTTACAATTAAGGAAGTAATTTTTTAATATTTTTATTGGCGGTGGGATTTTCTATTTGCATTGGTATTTTCTTTGGTTGAATAATTCAAAGAAGTATTTTTTTATTATAGATTTGGTTTTTTGGAGGGTTGGGGTGGTGGTAGTTGAGCACAATTATTTTAAGGGTTATTTTTTTCTTCTGACGAGTCATGTTTAACAAATTTTGTTGAGTTGTCTCCCTCACTCTAGTTTTATTATTTTTTTCCATCGTTCGTCTCAAAATTCGCATGAAAATTCAAATTGACATATGTTGTTGCATGCAGTGTAATGGTCCTTGATGTGCAAACATTGTGGCGAAACGCAATATCTAAGTCCACAACAGCCTGGAATAATGTTACAAAAAAAAGAATTCAAAAGTCAAAATAAAAGATCCCTCAAACAGGTCTTACGTATGATTCGTCAAGCTTTCGTACCTTTCGTCAAATTGTAAGAAAGCTCTACTAGAACTCACCGGTTTCGACACATTTTTCGTATGAATTCAACTTTTAATTATAATAGATATAAGAAGATGTGGTATGAGTGCCAATGAGACAACTCTCCATCCAAGTCAAAATTTATAAAAGTAAACCATTATAGGTCAAAGTACGGTCTTCAACGCGGAGCCTTGGCTCACACCGAACAGCAAGCTATAAAGGGCCCCAAAATTACTAGTGTAAAACCATTAAAAAAGGGAAAACCAACGGTCTAATCTATATAAAAAACGAGAAACAAGAAACACTTATGAACCACATCAACAAACGACAACTACTGAACATCAGATTCCCGACTTAGGACAGGTGCAAACAATTGCAGC